TAGTATCATGGTTGCTAGGCAACCTGAGCAGCGCGACGAAGGCTACCCATATGGAAAAGATATATATAAATCTTATAAAGTTTGTATCTGTCTTGTGTGAAACTTGTATGAAAAGCATACAAGAGTGAAAACAGATATAAGATCCCTTGAAAAATTCTATAATGAAACTTGTATGTTTTGGATACTTACTAAATATATGAAAGTAATGAGAAAGTGGCCACTTTCACGACTAAATCACATAAGTTTTTACTATTTCTTTTCCATATGGGTAGACCGTCCCATTTCACAAGCCTCTCACTTCCGCGTACTCAGTGCGCGTACTGCACGTACTCCGAAGCATGCGGTCGCTGGATTGGGACACAGCCCAGCTCTTGTGGTTTGTGTGCTTTTGCTGCATTATCCTAAGTTGCACTACATTTGAACTTTTAGGGCCACCGAACAATAAGGTTAAATGTTAAACGGTTTAATGTTAAAGTTAAACATTTAGTGCAGCACTAGAGTAAGCATGATTTTTGGGGGGAATAATATATATAAAATTGAATTTGATGCATAGTGCTGAAGTTTACAAACAAATGAAATGCACACTTTGTTGATATGCCATACAGGACATACATCAGCTACATCAAGAGTCATTGCCCATAGCTCAGAGCTAAATCTGGCCAATACCAATCATCATCTTAGAAAATATAGCCATGGTTAAGTTTGTGGAAAATATTAACTCTGATGTCTACAAGAGTGCACACTAGTATAATGACTGCTTTCTGTGTAACTACTTTGTACATTTTCATTACTGACAGTAGGGAGATCTTTTCACAAATTCTAGATGTATGCATATTCTTGCAACTGAAAGACTACTGAAAAGAACCATTAGAGTGCCCAGATTAGAGTTTTAAGTTTGAAATGTCAAATGAAGCTAAACATTTAGTACTTTTAGTCATGTAATCAACTCTATTCATTAAACTCCAGATCTATTTTCAAAATAGAAAAAAGAAAATGTTTCTACTGCTATCTTTTCAGCTTGATGTGGTTCCAATGCCTCATTCATATATACACACCTTTACTCTTTACATTTGTTCTGTCCCTCTGTGAGTCTTTTTTTTCCATCTTTTTAGTGCAGAAAGTTTTGAAAAGAGGACTTTTGTGTTTGCAGTAGACTCACGTTATACATGAACTGTTGTCACATTTGCAGGGGCCTGTTTTGTCTTGCAAGTATGTTTTTTACTGTGACGCTAATAGCTTATAGAATGGGAAACTACCAGCTCCTCAGGATACACACTGTTTTACTCAGGCCGTTCACTCGGATGTGGCTGATAAAAAACCTGACTGACTGGTTTTAGTTTTGTAGTACACGGTAGTGCTGGGTGTGGTGATGAGTGAGGGCTCAACACTTCATTACACAACTCCACATGTTACTCGCTGACTCGCTGTTCCATCCCTCTGAATAAATATGAGTGCTAGAAAACGTTTCAACATCGCCATCATGTGGAGCTTGCAGGCAGTGTTGGGAAGGTTACTTTTAAAATGTATTCCACTACAGATTACAGATTACATGCCCCAAAATACATTTTGTAATGTATTCCGATACGTTACTCAATGAGAGTAACGTATTCTGAATACTTTGGATTACTTAATATATTATCATGCTTTTTACAACTACATGAATGTAGTATTCATGTGATTTGTTACTATTATTGTAACAAAATACTAAAAATGTTACTATTATTGGTACTATTATTGTCTTTTCCAGGTCTTTAGGCTACTGTCATGGTCCTGGGTGTTTTGGATTAACCCGGGTTCTCGCGGTTTGTCCTGCCCGTGGGTCTGTCTTACATTATAAGAGTGCCTGGGACTTGTAAAGAGTTATTCATCGTGCACTTTGTAAATAAATTCACTGTTCATTATAGGAGTCCTGCATTTGGGTCCTACTTCTCACCTGCAGCTCCACGGTCTGACAGACCTTCACAGAATAATCCAGCCACAAATGGGCCCAGGACTGTGACGTTTTTAGTGACTCACAAAGATGGACAAGTGCACAGTTTTGTGTTTAACTGTCTGTTAGCTTGCCTGAAAGCATTGTGCCCTGTTGAATGAACAACTCTTTTGTTTTTAGTTATAAGGTAGAGTTTTCATATCAAACTGCTCAGAAATAGAATTAAATACATATTAAGATATTGAATTACATGTAAATAGCTGTAGTGGCAAATTTCTGTCCCAAGCTTCGAAAAAATAATTCTTCCACTTCTTAATGTGAGCTGTTCAGATTTATTTCGGACTCGTACATACAAACAAAAGATGTCACGGTCAAAAAACTATTTGCTGCTACAGCGCACATTTCCATTGCCGTCCTGGCTCACTCTAACCTGCTACCCAGAGCGTTCTGCTACCACACATGCGCTGTAATGTTTTATTACCCGACACAAATTAAACGCGCAGCATTTATTCTCTAACAACATATCATACAAAATTAAACATGTAACATAATAACTGAAACAGTATCAAAAATATTTCTCTATAGATTGGCTCTAACAATAACACAATGCTATCTGAGAAGGTATAGTCTTTAACCCTTTTTAAATATATTCTGTGGGTCAAATATATTTGATCCACATAGCATAAATTTGCCAAATGATAATTATAAATGATTTCAACAAGCTTGTGTGTATTTCAGCTAGATTTCAGCTCAAGTTTTTCTTATTTTGCGAAGCTTTAATTTACAAAGATTTACACTGTGACGTTATGCCTCGATGCATGCTCAATCATCCAGGCAGGGAAATCCCAAAAAGTTGATTCTGTTCATCTGGACGTAGCGTCTTCAATGGGAGAAACATTTTGTCACTTCAGCCTGAAGAATTCACTTGGATGAGTTTTGAAACTTTTCTCCCACTGAAAACACTGCGTCCAGATGAACTGAATCAACTTTTTGATACAGTCCATGCAATACAATAGTATTCAAATATTCATTAAAAATCATCCTTGATAGTTGATGTCAAACTTTCAAAATATTTCTCCTCTAGTCCACTTACTGTAGCTCTGGGCAACGTTTCATCTCTATTGACTGCAATATTCCAGAAAAAATAATATATGGCTTTTGCTCATGTTTGATGCAATACAATGGCATCGTATTCAAAAATTCATTAACAATCATCCTTGATAGTTGAGGTCATACTTTTAACACATTCCTCCTCTGGCCCACCGACTCTACGTCTGGGCCAAGTTTCATCTCAAACTACTTTCATACTCGCAAGAAATTAAAGGACAATTCTGCTCAAATTTACAAAACTTTAAAGGAATGTGATAACATCATGTTACAAATGTATTAAAATCATCTGTGATAGTTGACATGAATTTCTCAACAGATTCCTCTTCTTGGACACCCACACTGTATGTGTGCACAGAAATTAAAGGACTTTTCTGGTCAATTTTCAACATGCTCGATCGATTATATCATCACATGAAAAAATTTAAAATCATCTGAAATTGTTGACATGAAATTGTCAGATGTGCTGGAAAACATTATATTCAAATGATGAAACACCGCAGAACTAGAACGTGAATAACTACATAAAACCAAAGGAAATTATGAACCCACAAAACTCGAAACGCTATTAATTCTCTACAGTACAAATACCTCTTACAGGTTACTCTGGCCCGTTAAAACTAACAGACCCTTAGGGCTGTTTTCCAAGCCACTAAATTTAGCCCAGTTAGTTACTGTAGCAGTCTCATGAGGTGCTATGATTCAGTGACAACTCCAGATATTATTCCACTGCGAACTTTAATCCATCCAAGCACATGTACACATAATGGCCAATGCCAAAAACGTAACCCCCCACGTACTGGATTAGCCAACACAGGTACGGTAGCTCATATGAGACAAATGGTGCAGAGTGATCATTTAACCAAATAATCTACAGTTACCAAGTGCACTGAGCTACAGGGAAGATGCTGCAAAACTACCTGCATTTCAGTTTGCATCAGAGAGGGCAGCCCCAGAGAGCTTTTGAGGCAGGGAAGGGTTACAACTGAGCGAGTCCTCTCATACGTCGGCTTAATCTAAGCTCTGCACTGTTTGCCGGCTAAAACCAATCAGAGATTTGGACTCTTTAAACAGACAGCCAATCCATGTTATACTGGGGTACTCAACACCACTTTCCTGTCTGTCTTGACTTCACTATCCAGTAAAGGCAAAAAAGAGAAATATAGCAGTAGTTGGATCCAAAACTTTGCAGATATTTTGTGTGAGTGCAGAGATGATGCATTTGTGGAGACTTTCATGTCAACTATCAACTATGTCAAGATGACTTTTTTTGTAAGGTTTTGTTTATTAAAATAACCTTGTTGAATGTGAGTAGAAATGTCCTTTAATTTCTCTGGAATCATGCAGCATTTTGTGATGAAGGTTGACACGCATGCAGAAAAGGTAACGAAGAGGAGTCAAATGACATTTTCATGTCAACAATCACAGAGGATTTTTTTGTTATTATTCTTTATGTGATATAATCGATTGAGCATGTTGAATTTGACCATAAAAGACCTTTAATTTCCCCAGAATTATGCAGTGGATTGAGATGAAACTGTGCGTGAAAAACTGATGAAACTAGTGTGGGTGTCCAAGAAAAGGAATCTGTGAGGAATTCAGCTATCACAGATGATTTTTAATAGATTTCTCACAGGACATCATCACATTCCTCTGAAGCTTTTGAATTTGAGGAGACTTGTCCTTTGATTTCTTGGGAGCATGAAAGCAGTTTGGGACGAAGCTTGGCCCAGATAAGAGAAAAAATCTGTTAAAAGTTTAATGTCAACTATCAAGGGTGATTTGTAATGAATTTGTGAATATGATGCAACCAGGCTGTCCCAGTGCAACGCGTGCGCTGGCGTGTGAGTGTGAGCGTGCATTTGTGCGCGCGCGCGATCAGGAACGAACGAGAGCATGCGCTGACATAAAGGCTGGTGTTGAAGCGCAAGATAATTTATAGGGTGGATCAGAAGCGGCTGGCTTCATCGCGGCGCACAAATGACGGCTCACTTTACCGCGGTAGTAAAAAAAACAAAACGCCATCACTAACATCACTTCAAGCGGGCCTTGGGGCAAGTGTCCTGCTTTGACAATGATGGTTCGTACGGAGTATCTGAACTGTGGAAGAACACAAAGTAAAACAGATAAATACTCCTCTGTGGGCAGGTTTCTGGGCGAGTATCTCCATCTGTGGGATTTCTGTGAGGCGTGTCTACGGACTGCTGGTCCCGTCGCTACGATACTTCCGTATCACTTCCGTGTGCTTCTGTTGAAAGGCGGGTTTCCACAGACTAGGTAACCGTGACTTTCTTGGTTGTACGAGGTCAAGTTAGCGTTGAACATTCAAATATCTCAAATCTCGTCCATCTCCGCGCGGACACGAGGTTTGGCTCCATGGCTGACGGCCGAGGGGGGCAGAATCCGGAGCAGGAGCCGAGGGGCGCCGCGGGTGGAGACGGTAGGTGGAGACATTTTTGGTTCAGCCGCTGAAGTTAAAAGCTAAACGGAGGCAAAAGTATAACGAGTCCGAACCGGAATAAAAAGTTAGGATTAAAGAATTGCTTCGAACTACTTTTAGTAGTTAGAGGGGCTGGTGTGTTGGAGATCACCTTGGTTGCTGTCACTAAACCCGAGTCTGGTTCAGCTCAGCCCGGAGAACAGCGGCTGTACCGACTCCATGCGGGACTTGCCCCGACACAGTGTGTGCTTTACAGCCTCAACAGGCCGCTGTCGGCCTGCTAGTTTTCACCAGGAAGCCTGTGTGGACTATGCGACACCTCTGATAATTATGGCCACTCATGACGTCGTCGTGACGTCACACGAAGACAAAGTTTAACAGCCCAACTTTAATGTAGTTAACTGATAATGCGACTATTAGAGACTGTGGGCTGGTGGAGTGAACGTGAATAATGTTTTCTTTATATCTGCTTTAACCAGAATTCTGCGATTCTTCACTGCTTTGTCGCAAACAGCTGTTCCACAGGACACATTACAGCTGGAAACAGGGATCTTGGCGAAAGTGAAAGCAAGCTCAAAGTACCTCTTAAGAAACAAACCACCATGTTCTTTGATTCAGTCTTTGTCAAGTAATGATGACATAAGTTGGTTGGCAGTTTTTAAAAACTTCATTGTGTTTTGTACTGTTGGCATTGCTTTGCTACTGATTGTAAAGGTTTTGTTTTATGCCCCTTCCCCCCACCTTGAATAAAAATATGAGTAAATAGTCTATTAATTATCTGCTTGCTCTTCCAGATGTCGTTGATGATTCCATCCTCGAAGAAGGTGCGGTTGTCTTTAGAGGGTGAGTCTCAGCATTGCTGTTGGGTACGGTCATACCCATGTGTTTGACCATAAAAATCTTACATTTTAAACTGAGGATGGATACAGAAAGTTGATTCTGTTCATCTGGATGTAGTGTTTTCAGTGCGAGAAGCATTTCATCACTCTTCCAAGTGAAATGTTCACTCTCAGCTGACTGCAGGTTTGCCCAACGTGATAAACAGTGCATTTGAACAATGGCTGAAACTAGCACGACTGACTAACAGTGGGCCATGAGCTCAGTTTCAGGATAGCTATTAAGCAAACTGACATCTCCATTGATCAGTATCCATGAGTACTATTCACAGGCAGAAGGGGAATGGCTGCAATCACAGAGCTGTAGATGGTGAAAGATGTAGTCTTAAGTCTCCATCCATTAACTCTCTTGCAATTCAATTTAATTCAATGTCTTTATACAGCGCCAAATCACAACAACAGTTGCCTCAAGGTGCTTTATATTGTAAGGTAAAGACTCTACAATAACACAGAGATAACCACCTGTGAACTAGTGGTTTGGTGACAGTGGGAAGGTAAAACGGCCTTTTTAACCACGAAGAAACCTCTGGCAGATTAAGGCTCAGGGAGGGGCAGCCTTCTCCGGCAAACAGTTGGGGGTGATGGGAGAGGAAGACAGGTCAGGCACTGTGGAAGAGTGCCAGAGATTGCCTATTGTTGTCAGGGTTGCAGGGGGCTGGAGCCTAGAGCAGGGCGATATGACCAAAAATATTTATCACGATAAACATTTGAAAATTTGTGATAATGATATAACTGACGATATAATTGACACTAGACAAAATACTTTACAACTCCACAACTTTATTAGTGCAAAAAAAAAATCAATGTATTTTCACTTAAACAAGCAGCTGTTTTTTATGTGCATTAAAGTTTATATAAACATGTAACAGTGCAAATGCAAATTCCTCGCTGACAGTTTAACCAAAAGGTATTTCCAGTGGAAACTGGCCGACATATCCTCAGCATAACCAAGTATAACATCCACAAAACTTAAAAAGAGGTTATACACACAGTACGGTAATATCATGTTGAAGCACAGTACGTATCACTCCGCAAGGCTCCGCCTACGATAGCCGTAATGCTCCAACAATCCATCAAGCGGTGCGGCTTCGTAGCTTAGCAGAGTCGTAGTAAAACATTTGACAGATCTTCGAGCGCCGTGCACATAAAATCGTTTCGAGGTCAGTAAACACAACCAGAGTTCATACATAAGGCACACAGGATTATAAGGGGCTCTGTCGACTTTCAGAAAAATCAAAGGATTGATTTTAAGTGCGCCGTATTTTCCAAACAACACGGTAATAACAACGGCCCGCTAGCATGCGCTACCAAAAATAGTGCTTTGTTGTGTATCTGACGGACGAAAGCTAAACCAGTTCCACACCAGTGAAGTTGCAGCATTTTTACAAACCAGTTCTGGTTCATCTGTTTCATTCAACGATCCGCTTTCGCTCTTCTCATTCTGCGTCGCCGCCGTGCTTTTTCCGCCATGTGCATATGAAAACAAAGGCACTGCACATGCACGTTTTACCCATATTCTATCGCAATATTTGATTTTCTTATCGTTGCCCAACATTATACCGGTATTGCCGTGAACGATGTGATATGGCCGAGCCCTACTGGAGCCTATCCCAGCTACCATAAGATGAGAGGCAGGGTACACACTGGACAGGTTGCCAGTCTGTCTAACACCAATGCATAGAGAGAGACAACCATTTACACTCACATTTACATCTATGGGCAATTTAGAATTACCAATTAACCCAGGGCACCTGAATAAAATGATTAGTTCATTACCAGACCTCTGGAGAACTTTAAGATAGTTTGAGGAGGTCATTTATCCATTTAAATCAGCTGTGTTGGATCAAGGACCCACCTAAAACCTGCAGGACACCGGCTTTCGAGGCCTGGAGTTCCCTACCCCTGAATTAACCCAATCCCATTAACTGCATGTCTTTGGACTGTGGGAGGAAGCCGGAGTACCTGGAGAGAACCCATGTAAAACAAATTTTGCATGAATAGAAGAAAGCAGTTCTTCGTACTTCTTAAAATATGTGCATTGAAGGACATGTGCTGGTCAAAAACAACTCCAAGATTCCTTACAGTGTTATTGGAGCCCAGAATAAGCATTTGGTTAGATACCATATTTCTATGATTTTTAGGGTCGAGTACAATAGCTTCAGTTTTATCTGAATTTAGAATCAGGAAATTACAGGTCATCCAGGTCTTTATGTCTTTAAGACATTCCTGCAGTTTAACTCATTGGTGTGTGTTATCTGGCTTCATGGACAGATAGAGCTGGGTGTCATCTGCATAGCAGTGTAAATGTATGCTATGTCTTCTAATGATGCTGCCTAAGGGAAGCATGTATAATGTAAACAGAATTGGTCCTAGCACTGAACCCTGTGGAACTCCATAATTAACCTCAGTGTGTGAAGAGGACTCTCCATTTACATGCACAAACTGGAGTCTATTAGGTTGCAAGACAGCTAGGGACCCAGTGGGCGAGCAGTCATTCCTGTTATACTCCTTTGAAGTCCGTGCGTCTTTGCCTGCTCAAATCAGCATTACCTTTTCAGGATGTGCACTGTACGTGTAAATAGACTGCAGAGTACTGGGTACTGGGCTGACAATGTAGCAGAGTTGTTTGGTCTGAACTAAAATCACAACACTGATCATAGGTAGGTTTTACATCGAGCTTGTAGTTTATTTTGCAGACAAAACTTTAAAAAAAAATGATCATGGTACTTTCTCTATATAAATCTGCATGTCCAGCTGGTCACAGCAGATGCTAGATGACAAACGAATTGGCTTTTCTTTTCCACCTGAGCACTCAGTGATTCATACGAGCACTTTTTATAATGCTGACGTGCTTTCTAACAACAACTTGGGGTTAGGTGTCTTGCCCAAGGATATTTGTACGCAGAGTGGAACAGCCAAGGATTGAACCACCAACCATCTGATTAGTAAATGACTGAGGTCACATGATTTGGACTCGAGTCATTAATTTTATGACTTTAGACTTGACTTGAAAAAATGTTCTAAGACTTGTGACTTGACTTGGACTTTTACACCAATGACCTGGGACTTGAATTGGACTTGAACCGGTTTACTTGAAAAGACTTGATATCCATCCATCCATCCATTCGTGTCCGCTTATCCTTTTCAGGGTCGTGGGGGCGCTGGAGCCTATCCCAGCTGTCATAGGGCGAGAGGCGGGGTACACCCTGGACAGGTCGCAGGGCCAACACACAGGGACAGACAACCATTCGCACTCACATTCACTCACACATTCACACCTATGGGCAATTTGGATTAACCAATTAACCTATCCCCACTAACTGCATGTCTTTGGACAGTGGGAGGAAGCCGGAGTACCCGGAGAGAACCCACGCAAACACGGGGAGAACATGCAAACTCCCAAAAGACTTGATATTTCACCACAAATAGGGCTGCTCAATTAATCGAATTTTAATCACGATTACGATCTGGGCTTTCAACGATCATTAAAAATGACTGAGCTGATTATTAGCCCCTCCCTCGTGCTTTACTCTCGCGCTGCTCCGTGTGGCAAATCGAGCGCACCTCTCTGCATTTCGAACATACGTCACAACAATTAAGAGCAGCGGTCTCCAACCTTTTTTGCGCCACGGACGGTTTATGCCCGACAATATTTTCACGGACCGGCCTTTAAGGTGTCGCGGATAAATACAACAAAATAAAACCAGTACCGGTACCGAAAAAAAGAGAATTTATTCATGACACACGTGAAAAGACCCAGGAAAACCGAGTAAACGATAACAAAATAACGCTGAAAACCGATAAAAACCCTGAAAACCATACATTTCACACCTGAGCCTCAACGCTCGCGGCCCGGTACCAAACGACTCACGGACCGATACCGGTCCGAGGCCCGGGGGTTGGGGACCGCTGATTAGAGGACCCGAGGGAAGCTCGGAAAGCTCAGCAGAAGTTATATGGAGAGGAGAGTGACTGCTGTTGGTTGAAAAGAGGTAAAAAACCTTCAGTGGTGTGGAAACATTATGGGTTCAGTCAGACGTGGATCAAGTAGACACAGTGGGTAAACTTTGCTACAGTGTAGCTGCACCACAGAGCAACACTGCGAAGTTCACTAAACACAGATGTTTACATTTTTCATTTATTTTTTATATTGCAAACATTTGCACTGTTATCAGTATTTGCACACTATTTATATTATTTTTTGACAAACTTTAAAGTCATTATTCAACACATTGTTATTGTTAAATAAATATCGTCAAATAATCGAGATCTCAACTTCAGTGAAAATAATCGTGATTATCATTTTTGCCATAATCGAGCAGCCCTAACCCCAAATATAAAATTTAACACGCATATTATATAGAAAGTGTGCACCGTTAATTCAATTCATTTATTCAAACCACACTCCGTACGTATGTGTGCGTGAGCTGTAGCACAGCCAATCAAATTAACCAGATTTTTTTTTAAAAAGAAAAGAAAAAAAAATGCTGTAAGGAGTTATTTTTTTTTCAGGTACATAAACTATGAAGTAGTCAACAAAAAAACGAAATGCAATATGCAAAACATGCAAGAAGAGAATCACAGACAGAGATGGAACAACTTCCAACTTTGTCCGACAGTTGAAGTTGCATAAAGAACGGTAGGTTCTCTCTTGCTACGATGAGATCATGACTTCATCTAACTTTGTGATGTCAACTAACTTTAATGTGTATGATATTTTTGTCATGTGATTTTAAAGCCGGCCCTACAAGGGCATCCAAGAATAACATGCAGCTTATCTCAGAACTGTCGGTGAAAATTATTCTTGGAGCTAAGTTTAATTGAGCTGCATTTTAAAGAGGTGCAATTTCACAATTTGTGTATATTTTCTAAGTTCACTATTTCGACATGTGTTGAGAAAAACACAGAATTAAAAATCACATGGTCTAATATTTACATTTAGCATAACTGCAACATGCTTTTTCTTTTTTTTTGTTTAAAGACTCGAAAGGACTTGAAATTCAAAGTTTCAGACTTGTGACTTGACTCGGACTTTTACACCAGTGACATGGGGCGATCGTGGCTCAAGAGTTGGGAGTTCGCCTCGTAATCGGAAGGTTGCCGGTTCGAGCCCCGGCTTGGACAGTCTCGGTCGTTGTGTCCTTGGGCAAGACACTTCACCCATTGCCTACTGGTGGTGGTCAGAGGGCCTGGTGGCGCCAGTGTCCGGCAGCCTCGCCTCTGTCAGTGTGCCCCAGGGTGGCTGTGGCTACAATGTAGCTGCCATCACCAGTGTGTGAATGTGTGAGTGAATGGGTGGATGACAGGTTGTGTAAAGCGCTTTGGGGTCCTTAGGGACTAGTAAAGCTATATAAATACAGGCCATTTACCATTTACTTGAGACTTGACTTGAGACTTACTTGAGACTTGCAAAACAATGACTTGGTCACACCTCTGGTAAATGACCTGCTCTACTTCCTGTGATGCAGTCCCCCTAATAGATAGCTGCCCCTCCCTGAGCCTGGTTCTGCTGGAGGGTTCTCCATGTTAAAAGGGATTTTTTTTTTTTTTTTTTTTGCTTGCTCATAGTGGATCTTCTGATTGTTGGGGTTTTCTGTTTTTTCTGTATTATTGCAGGGTCCTACAATATAAAGCGCCTTGAGGTGACCGCTGCTGTGATTTGGTGTTGTTTGAAGTTTACTGAGGAGAATCTTTGTATAATAAAATTGTGGGTGTTTTTTTTGTCTGCTACAGGTATGTGATTGCACATATAAACACAGAGGAGCCCAGTCGACACGTGACTTCTGAGGATTTGGGAGGAAGGCCAGATGAACAACAGGATCCACAAGTCAAAGAAGTGGTAGAACAGCTGCGCAAGATAGCCGACAGTTTAAACCGCAATGCTGAGCTTCAGAGGTGACTGCATCAGCTGTTTCAGCAGATTCTTTGAATACCAATTACCAATATGCTCTTTCTACATCATGCTGACACTACTATTGGCAGATTTACAATGCAAAACCTCACTTTCTTTTCATCTTTTCAAAGTTCAATGTGTTTAAAGCAATTGTTTACATATTATGTAAATATAAGGCAAACTTTTGAATGTGACTGGTGACATTAAAATGCAGGATTTCATCACCCATCTCCTAATATCCCGGTGCGATGTCCTAACTCATGTCAGTTAAAGTTCACTCTATACTTCCAGTGTAACGATGAAAATCTGGGAAAAACACAAACTGGAATGTGTCATTTCTTGAGCTTGACCATGGCTCTTTCCATGATGCTATCTCGTAGCACAGTGGTACTGACTGGAGAATTGGCTCCACCTACTGCTGCTCTCTAGCAGTGAATTAAAATATTGAGTCACTTTCTTTAACCCAGGGGTGGGGAACTCCAGGCCTCGAGGGCTGGTGTCCTGCAGGTTTTAGATGTGTCCTTGATCCATCACAGCTGATTTAAATGTCTTGAAGTTCTCCAGAGGCCTGGTAATGAACTAATCATGTGATTCAGGTGTGCTGACCCAGGGTGACATCTAAAACCTGCAGGACACCGGCCCTCGAGGCCTGGAGTTCCCCACCCCTGCTTTAACTCCTCAGCTGTAAAAGGCCGATGTGGCATTGTGGTCACCGTGCTGGGTGAACGGACAGCATGGGTGCTCAAGTTTGTGAATGCGATAACTTAAGAATTTTGCCATTAATCTAATGGGTGCAGCTACTAAAAACCTCTGTCGAGTTCGGATCTCAGTGACCTCAACCTCGGGGTCAGAGGTCATGTCTTCTGAAAATCTTGTGGACACATTAAAGACAAAGATGTCACCTGAGGTTTTCAAAATGATACCAGGAGGCTGAGGGGTAGCGCTTTTGTGGAAACTCAGATTGTTTGTGTTGCACTTGCATGACAAGTCGGTATACGATTAAACTGCTGAGCGAGCAGATCTGAACTATGAACAGTACTAGCAAGAAGAATTTGGGTCAGTAAATCAGTTCAGCCAAATCATTCTCATATTTGAATGTGTCCATTTCCTCCCATCAGACTGATAAACCAGGTTCAGGGGAACTGCGTTCAAGATGTCTTCATGGCAGTTGCAAGAAACATCTTTGCTGATGGCATCAACTGGGGTCGAGTAGTGGCTCTCTTCCATCTGGCCTGTAAACTTATACACAAGGTACACCATCTGCCACAGCTGGTATTCTGTGATCCCTGCCTGTCAGAATCTTTCTCCTCATGCTGGATATAGGAAAGGAATTCCCCAGCGTGGCTTTTTCTCACACCCACCAAACGTACAAACATAATGGGTGTGAGAAAAAGCCCCCACAAAAGGGCCGCAATTGCTGTGGCACAAACGTGTTGCAGCCACTGGGCTTAACAGCTCTTCTGGTGGAATCTCTGCACTGTAAGTAATGTTTCCTCACTGAGGTTCCAGTACGTTCAGCATTCTGTCAAAATTCCTCACATTAATTAAAGAAATACAGACTTGTAGTAAGTGTGCATACAGGGCTAACAATGCCTGCAGGAGGGTCTCATGCACATTTGACAGCAGGGTTCCTACGACTTATGTTAATGGCTTTGTTCCATATCTGTTTCTCCTTTAAAGGCTATTACCGCCAATCACTTAGAGAACATCCAAATGATCATCAGCTGGGTCCTCCAGGTCATCAGGGAGCAGGTCTACAGCTGGCTTGTGGCACAAGGGGGCTGGGTAAGTGAGTAAACGTTCATAAAGCTCATTGCGGTCTTCTGTTTGGACGCCTCAGGTACATCCACAGCTCCTAATATTGATCTGTTGATCTTGCAGGAGGGGGTGATCCGTGGTTTCTCTCGATGGAGGACAGCAGCCATGGTAGCATCAGTAGTATTGGTGGTAGCCTTTGTTTACTACCGGAAAGTACGATAAAAACATCGGACCTCACAACCAAGACTGCAGTGCCTTCATCTGGATACAGACGGCTTGTTAGGAAATCAGTCACTCCTCAGCCTCCATCTCATTAACAAGAGGAGGTAAAGTACTGTGCTTACAGGGACGGATCTTCTCTTTTCTCAGGTTTCAAAGAACAAAAGCGCTTTTGCTGCCAGATGTCCAGTGAGCATCTCAGCCTTTCTTCACTAGCAGGTGATCAGTGGCTGCCGTGGATTTCTGAGCTGCTGTATCTAACACTGGAGGCTCTCAGCTGTCAGCCGATGCTGCTGTTGCACCCGATCTTACCTGAACCACACCTGAGGGAGTTTACAACAACATAATTATCTTAATTAAGCCAACTGAATGTGCCATAGTTTCACCGTAGCTGGTGTCTGAAATTTGAATTATGTTGTATTCTGTCTCAGACAGTCTTGTCTCTTTAAAGTCTTTTTATATACTTGTTTAGGTTTCTAGTATCAAAGGACGTCAAATCACACTGTAAAAAAATGCAAATGTTCCTTTTATGGATTTTAAAAACTGGACAAGAATCCTCAAAGTGAGTTTTTCTGAAAGACTTCTTCACTGAACTGTTTCAACAAATAATTTGAAATTACAAAGGGGAAATGTGTTGGTTAAATAAGCTTTTATCAAGAAAACAATGTTTTAACAAAGTGCAATGGTTTGGAATAAATGTAAACCCTATTTAATTAAAACTGTAAAAAGAAATCATAAATATTTAGTGTTTGTTTGTTTTCTATGCAAATTTAAATAAAAAAGAAGGGCAACGAAAGACCTGAAATGTTGTTTACAAACATGTTGGGGGAAACGCAGAAATGCTGCTGCTCCTGAATTCACTAATAATGAAAAACCATCATCTCTAGTTGGACCAAAGAAAAAGTGAAACACAGACGTTCCATCCTCCAGGGCACAAAGAGGAGGCGAGACCGTGTAGCTTTATATCATCTCTGTCATGAGTATTTTACACACCTGTACAGCACCATTAATGATCAAAGATCTACAGGCACCAGCCACTAACACAGCTAATTATGTGGTAGCAGCTCCACGTAGACATGGTCAAGTTCAAAATGAGCATCACAAAAGACAAAGTATCCGGGTCGATTCTGTATCAGGGAGACTCAAGGACTCATCTTCTCGAGTTCCTGAAGTTTTTCTCAGACTGTTGTTTTTGAAAAAAATAATAAATAAAGACAGCATCTTTTGAAATGCATTTCCAGCATTAAATCCAAAATGAACAATTAGTAATAACTCAGTCTGTGTGTGTTCTGTCATGTCTTGTTCATTCGACCCACTTAACAATTGGCAGCTCTATTTGAAAGTAAATAGGAAGAGGTTATCTTAAGTTTGGGGCATGCAAATCTCATAAACCCATATTTAATTCACAAACGAACATAGAAAACGTTTAAACTGGGAACTATTTCAAGAAAAATATGAGCTCATTTTGAATTCGATGGCAGCAACATCTCTCAAAAGATTTGGGCCATGGATAAGTTTCCCACTGTGTAGCATCCTATTCTTTAATATCGGCAGGTAAGGTCTGGGAACTGAGGATGTTCTCCAGATGTTCTCAGCTGGGGAAAGGTCGAGTCGACTGCAGGCAGCCCAGTTCAGCACCCAAACTCTTCTGCTAAACACACATGCTGCTGGAATAGCTGCAGGTTATTATTATCCACTCCAGATGAGAAGAAAAGCTACATTTTCCAACATCTGTGGGATATTGCCCAAAAAAAATAGACTGTACGTGATGACCTCCAGCAAGATAATTTAGCCTCCCGAGAGACTGCAGATGCAAATTAGTTGTAAGCCATGTCTGGCAGCATTTCTATGAATCGTCTGAGCCGTTGTCTCTTTCTGGAGAAAATGACTCAAAATTCCTAAGACGACCTGGTGTGGACCTGTGTTCTGTGACAAAACATGCTTCTTCTAAGCTCAAAATAAAAATGAATTAACTGCTCCAATTACACTACACGTTGTCTCCATTTCAAACATTTTCTTTTTAAGCCTTTGGCAACGTTTGAGGGGAAAAACATAATATAAGAATTGTCTCAGAATTTTGTCACTAGGAATAAGTCATTGTACCATGAAACTTTGTGAATATGGGGTAAGATCTTTAAAAGTTCAATACAAGGACTGAAGCTGTGCACAGAAAGGGAACATTTAGCATCTGGAAACGCTTTGGCGAACAGTTTTCAGCATGTACACGGATTGTCAGTAACTTGTGATGTGCTAAGAGCCCAGTGTCTTCACAAGAATGGAAAGGAGCAATGACAACAGTTTTTCTGAAGGTTTCACAAAATACTGAAATAACAAACCTCTGCAGCTGGTTTCTTAATTTGAAACGGGGGGAAAGGGGCAGCAAAACACTAACTGAAGTAGATGGAGAAAGGTTTTGTTGGAAATAGTTGTACAGTGCCACTTTTAATTAGGAAATCCGAAGTGTCTGGGACATCTGGGAGTTCATTGTAAAGCAAACAAACTGTAGCAGTGGTAGATGGCTTACCTCATCAAGCTTTTATTTACACCGTTCATTATCTTTGAATTATTTAGTTTTACAAAAGAAAGAAAATCAATGTAGTAAACATTTTACTGCTAATCTGAACTGTCGGGGGTTTCAAACTGAAATGAGCTGTGGGCCACTGCTGGGATGTCATCTCATTGGAGGGCCACGTCAGTGTTCAGGCAGTACAAAACAAACAAACAAATAAGAAAAGACCCACAAATTTATCAGAACATTTTGTGCCTTTTTCTTTTTCCCTTCGAATATTGTGTAAAAAGACCAAACTGCAAACGTGAGTGAAAACTATTTATTAAACAAATAAACATAACAATTTTTTTTACCCCAAATAATACATGTTCAAAGCAACACAACGGCGGCCCAATATCAGACAGAACTCCACTCTGCAGAGTCATAATGAAGCAGCTCGTTTTATTTTGTAGCTTCAAGCTGCTCTTCATATTTTGGCCACCAGATGTCAGCAGAGAGGACTGTGTTGAAATGCTTCGAGTAATGAACCGTATTTCAACACAAGCTTCAAAGCTTCATTTGGCCATCAGCACCTGTAATCCAGGCAAGGCAGGCTTAGAGTGCTGGAGCTGTGCTGGGCTTTATACAGCAATCTATCGCACACACATACTGTCACACTGATGAAAGTGTCTGTGACAAACTGGTGTACAGTGTCGAGCTTAAGGTGCAAACCGCTGGATGAGCCACTCCTACATCCTTACATGTAACAGGAACATTAAGTAAATATGAAGGTACAACGATTAAACAGGAATGACACTGATATTTAACAACTAAAGCACTTGCTGTAGTTTTACAGTACAAACTACACTTTATACTGTAGTCGTGAAGTTCTTCAGACATTACCGGACAGAGCTCAGTGTGGAAACATGATGTCCAAACAGGTACTGCCTCCTCCTTTGTGCTGATCTTATTCCACACATCATCTTCAGTTCAGACAGATAGTCTACCCTCAGTCACCACTTGCCTTCTTTCCTACAGAGGCCAGTTCAACATATCCATATTATCCCCATCTGTACATCTGTATGGGGTAAGTTCAGTCTGTATCTGTGACTGAACTTACCCCACTACTAACATCAGGCTAAGCAATATTAAAAAGGTTGTATTAAGAAGTGTTTAGTTTATAGGGTGGCTGTAGCTCAGGTGGCAGAGCAGGTCAGCCACTAATCAGAAGGTCGGTGGTTCGATCCCAGGCTGCCTCCTGGCTGCACGCCAAAGATACTAACCCCATGTTTGCCTGCTGGTGGTGGTCAGAGGGCCCGGTGGCGCCGGCAGCCTCTGTCAGTGCGCCCCAGGGCAGCTGTGGCTACAATGTAGCTGCCATCACCTGTGTGTGAATGACTGAATGTAGTGTGAAGCGCTTTGGGGACCTTAGGGACTAGAAAAGCGCTATACAAATACAGACCATTTACCATATAGCGTTAAGCCTTCTGAGTGGTCTGTAAAAAGCTGGGAAAAATTAAATTAGGATGAAATTAAATAATTAAATAAAAAAATCCAGTTGTGTGTCAACTTATCAGCATCACTGCTACATCCTGTATACATAAGAGGGTAAAAAAAATCCATTGATGGTTTTCAGGAAAAGTCTTTAAAAGTGTTCAGAAACCAGAAACCCTCTCATTGCCTGCACCAAGGTTTTGTATCTGTTGATTGCTTATGTTGAACACTATCTGCTCCAGAGCATAATTTACTGTGGCGATGTGAAAAGAGCACCTCGTTGACAGTAAAACCCAAGGCTAAAGCAGAGGTTACCTCACTACGCCTAAATCCTGCTTCATATTTCAGGAATACGTCGGACTCTTTCTTTAGTGTTACAGCATTTACGGCGCTCCTTCTCAGTCAGCCTGACTAATTCCTTTTCCTGCATGTGTTTGTGTTGCTTTTTGTTTGCCTGTGGTCAGTGAGCACCCTCACCTTGTCGTACCAGTGTCCTGGAGAGCACACTACACCTGTCCTCCACTCCGTTGGATCTGCTCTTGTAGTCTTTTGGGTCACTTGGAGTCTTTTGGACTTAACAGTGTGGGCAGGTACTTTCCCCGGTACAGGAATGCTGCACCGAGTCGCTGGTTTTACAACACTCGGAGAATAATGCACAGACACGCCTTGGCACATGCATTAGCAGGTGTCTTAGAGCTGCAGGCTCATCTCTTATGGAAGCTGGGGCTGTCAATGATCTGAGAGAACTTTCCAAATGAATCTATTGTGTCCACAGGTTCTTCTGTTTTTGCTTCTTTCATGTGGTCACCGATTTTTGCCCCAGGGGAAGGGATTTGATTCAGAGTGCTGATCCTGGGGAGGAACTGGGCCAGGGCTGGATCTCCTCGGTCTAAGCCCTGCAGTCTTTGCCGGTGGTTTCCCAGACTGAGCAGGACTCCATGTCTGTCAGAGATATAGATGTTGTACCCATCTGGCAAGATCTGTTCTCTGAAGATGCAGTCCTCTCTGCTGCAGGCATGCTGGAAAAGTTCACATTACATTCACATGCATCACTCTCCACATTCTACAATATACTTTATTGTATCCTTTATTTGAAATAAGTAAAAACAATATGGCTTTTTGGCATTTGTTTCCACTCAAAATGCATTTGTTTGCTGATCCTATATACATGTTGTACAAAGAGGGGTAAGGGTTAACAGGGACTATTAACAAAAACACACACACACACACAAAACATACGTAAATGGCACTGCAAGTTCTTCGATGGCTGTTTGCTTTGACCAAAGATACCCAGCCAGAGGCCAAGGTTGTTGTTGGTGCTGCTGGGTCTTTTCATTCAGCTTTTTCCACTTTGCAAACACATCCTGCCCTGCACCACACTGAACAAAGGTTGATGAACTGGTCGACTATTTGAATGAATGACTCTGCTGCTTGCAGTGAATATGGAGACGATTAACAACATATCACAAGCACGGCAGACCTTGCGTCACTTGTGTCTACAGAAACCTTTCTAGAATAGCCGCTGAAGAAGTTTGCAGTTAAAACGTACTTCTACTTTCTTTATGGAATAACAGTTCCCCACTTAGAGTTCAAATGTCAGCTTGACACCAAGTGAAACTAAAGTATTTATTGAAGTAAAAGTGCTGTATCAGAATATAAAGTTTAAACCAGTAATAATCGCATTTCAGTCGAACTGTGCAGATTATGAAATAGAGAAAGATTAATTATTAATCAATCAGATTAATCAGTTAAAACTTTTTTCCAACAGGTTTTTGCTATTTTACAAAGAGCACAAAGATGAAGAAGAAGCTTATTTCGCCTCTATTTTACTTGTCATGTGTGTCTCCTCATATGAAGAGAAGAAAACACGACACTGCGGAGAAAGGCTCCTTTTTAGACGACCTGAGGTCATCATGGTTTCACTGTGATTGTCTGTGTGAGGTAAAGCGTATTAGCAATTGCTGGATGAGATGCAACTGCAGTTGGTATTGTAACTATTATAGCTGCTGCAGTACATAAATATAACATAGTTGCGTCACAGGCAGAAAGGATCAGGAATATTCACATGGCTGTGCAATCCTGTGAAAGCTTAAATGCACCTGTACTGCTTCCATAGGAATTAAGAGGAGAAGCAGCAGCCAGGTGCTCCACAAACGCAGGACTTTAGGCACTTTGCAGGTCTGTGTTAACGTGTCTCAGTCTTCCCAGGTGTGGATGATCCAGTAAATTAGCCCCAAGGTCAGACTGTGCAATGCTCAGATAAACTGCCAAAAGACCCGAGACCTGCATCTCTAACTCGATAGGCCTCAGTTTGTATGTTAGACGTTAAAATTCATCACAGCAAATTTAGAAAAAGACTGAACAAGTTGCTTCTTCTCTCTGAAAAGAACATGACGGCAACAACAAACAAACCACAAAACATCTGGAACACAGTCCATGTAGAGATGTCTGGCCATGATGTACAGCACGAGTTTGGAGAAAACCGAGCACAGTATATGAACACAAATATCTCAAAGCAACTGTGAGCACTGTGCTGGAGCGCTGATCATTGGGCACCTTACAGTCACTGAGTCAACCGTGTATTCTTCTGTACACCAAAGTAAGCTGAGCCGAACGATTGGCTGAAAATGGGTCATTCAGCAGAACAATGATCCCCATCATAGCAATACATTTACAACAGAATGGCTGAAAAAAATGAATTAAGATGTTGCAGTGGCCCAGCCAAAGTGCAGAACTCCACCCAACCAACCTGCTGTGGTGTAGGTTTAAGAGAGCTGTGCATAAACAAATGAACCAAAGCAACTTGCACATCATTGTGGTCCAAAATTCCTCCACAGTAATGTGAGGGAATAAAGTCCTCCTGATGAACATTGCTGCTGAAGGTGGCTCTACAATCAGGGCATGCACTTAAAGTCGTACAGGACTGCACAGAGTGAAAATGTTATGTTTCACAGGAAAGTACACAAGCAGCATGAATATAAACTTGGTCTATGTGTGGGGTCACATATTCTTACTTTCATGTTGGGTAGTTTGCTTGGTAATACAGAACAAACTCTCCAGTGCTGGGATTTCACAGACATTTCCAAAACGAGCATTTACTTTTGCTTGGAGCTGCTTTCTGAATCTGTTTGGGCTCTAGGACTCGCTGAAAGGTGAGGAGGAAGAAGCTGCTCATGACTCCATCGTGAGATGTAACATTTAGAAAAAATGTTAGCTACCACGAAAACACCCCCCTCCCTCACAACTTTTATCATTTGGAACTGAAACAATGACTGAATTAATTGATAACATTTTTTAAAAATTGTATTCTTAACTGTAAAAACATGTAATAACTGACAGATATTAGTAATAATATTCAGTAATAATTAGTTTTTTCATTTGTTTATGTTGCCATTTTTCTATTTTGTTTGTTCTATTTACACTCTGAGCTTAAACATTGCATGTGTCACTTTTACTACACATGTATGCTTTACTGTTTGATATCAGCATCACTCAATCTGCACACAACACAAGTGTGTGACATTTGTCGTGTTTTTAATGAACTGCATGTGTCACTTAATTAGATATGCTAAAGTTATTTCTTGTCCTTCTACATTGTATTTTAGTCTTTTTTGTGTGATTTTGGAAAGAATTTTGTATCTCTCGTTTTGATAAGTGATATAAATAAAAACATGTATTCTTCTCCTTTTGTTAGTATTATTATTATGCTCACCGATGAGTACAGTGTGCCGTCGTCTTCTATGCAGAGAAACCTTGCGGTTGCCACCCCTCTGATGGCAACACGGCCTGGACCCACTGGACGAATCTCCATTAGGCCTAAAATGGAAATGTTCCCCACAGCGAAGCACACTGCAGTTAGTAACAAACACTGCAGTTTGCAGCCTTTTGACTCTGCGCTTCAAAGTGTTCCACTTACTGTGCAGAGTCTGGACGGCAGAACCACGGATCTGTCCACCCTCACTGATCAGCAGGTGCATTCCTGGCCTGGTGGCGTAAAGGTGCCTGAGCCGCACCACCTGGGCCCAGCCGTGGGCGATGTGGGGCCCGTTGTCTGACAGGGGCATGCAAACCATTCCAACACCAAACAGCACATTGACCGTGGATACGATGAGGAGCAGCAGCATGATTCGCGTGTTGTGGCTCCCTCCAGCTGGTAGTGAAGTAAGTGGACCTCTTCCTGCGCAGCCTTTTAAACGTGGCTCTTATCAGCTGCAGATAACCCCTTTTCCCAGAAACAAACCACAACACACCCCTGCACAACATCCAACTGAATCATGGCTCGCCGCTGGCCCCAGCCGAGCCCAAGTCATGTTAGAGTCAAAGATCAGCTGAATGTGCCGTCATATACGGACTGTCGTGCAGACTGTAAATACAGTCATATAGGTTTTTCTTTATGAACAATATATGATGTTAAGAACAGCACGTAAAAGGAGATCACTGTAGTAAGAGAAAAACACTGTAGGAGACTTCAGGTTTAGCTGTTGCATGTTGTAAATTAATCGCCAATATTGTCGTTCACAGTCGCTGCTGAATGAATACGAAGTATTTCACACTCAAAATGTGAAGGACATATACAAATGCAACACAGCACTGTGGATTAAGACTGCATTTCATTTTTTAAACAAAAAAATCAGGAAAAAAACCTTCTTTTCTTACTTTTACTATAAAAACCTCCGCAGTAATATACACAATATCATAAATACCATAAGCCATCATAATCCAAGGAAATCTCGGCTCACACCTGTAGCCTCGGTATCTATTATATTAATGATGTGTTGCATAATTACATTACATAAACTGTCATATTGCACATTATTTGAGGATAGGGTAAAGTCTACACATTGGTCAGAATCCATGCAAAGTTGTGAGACTGGGTCACTCTACACTAAAATAACAGACTTCTTTCCGCTCTTATCACATTCTGGCCGGTGCTTCCGCTGTTCTGTGTTGCATTTACATACAAGTTAAACTGTAATCAGAGTAAATATCACCATTCACTAAAATGAAACCCGAGGCCCAGATCTGACAAACCTCCATAACCTTTGCAAATTAATTCCTTCTGACTGCAGATTGTGTTAATGTCTGTTTGGGCTATGGCAGTTTTTCCAGCTGATCAAAAATGTAAAATTCATTTAAAATGTAAAGGTATGCAAAAGTTTCAGCCTCTGTTAGTGTTCAGTGACCTCCTTGGCCTACAGAGTCTCAGTCTTGCACCATTTTTAAGATCCCTGCAGATTTCCAGTAACTCTAAAGATTTTAATTTGTGTTTGTAGGAATAGTTGCTGCATTTTAAGGTTTTACTGGGATCATTGTCCTGTAGAAGCTCTTCTCTCCTTCATATTCTGAACTTGCTGCTTGACATTTGCAACAAGAATTTATTTTTTAATGGAATCTCTTCTTACTTCTGATTATGCAGTATTTCCACTTGCTCTGGTTGCCATATAAAAAACAGGAAAGGTAAACACTTTGATGATTGTGGATAAAGAAATCATTTTTAACATCAACATTTTTCAGAAGCTTTGAGCATTACTGAAGACAGGCCTGAAGAGTCTGAAATGTTATCAAGCTTACTTCATGAGCCAATGATTGCTGAATTTTAAATATCATTACAATAACAATATTACATCCTCATTTATCCAAATACCATCTATTTCCTGTCTATTTGTTGCCTAGTTAATAAGATAACATAACATGAACTGCACGTCTATGCAGGCAGGCTCTATCTCTATCACTGAATCTGTCTACACAGCTTCTGTCACTAGATGGCAGACTAGAATATGAACTCTTCTCTTTAAAGCATGCAGGGGACACTGGGATTTATGCACTCAGGAAGTCACAAAAACGTTTGCATTGTTTTTCCTAATTAGACTTTGGCTCCACCTTATCATTCCAATTTTAACATTATGGAGTGTCTGAGTACAGACCTTGTGATTGTGTGGGTGGTGCGAGGCCTTTAAATTTTGTCAGTGAAAACAAACGTGTGATTTATGCTGCTGTTTTTCAAGATGTGCCTTCATTGCCGATATGGGCAAGTATTCCATTAAAACCATAAACAATTTATCATCATGATTAACTGCCATTTACTACATCACTTATTCGATTTAGCATCACAGGGTTATTTATGGTCAATTGAGTTATGAAATAAATAAACTGTGCTAAGTGAAATGAAAACAACAACAAAAGTCTAAATAGAAAAACTGTTTATAAGAAAGCATCTATCAAAGCAAAGTGCCAAAATGCACCAAAGTATAACGATATGCTCGACAGTATCAGTACCTTTCTCTCTCAGTGCATTTATATGCCATTGCTGCATGTAAATGAGTGTCTTCCCTCTCCTTCAGTTTCTACTTTTTGTGTGCATTTGTCGTCTCTTTATACTTTTCTTTTGTCTTTTCCACCTCAGCCCTGATCATTCCTGTCAAACAGTTGGTAACCCGATCTGGTTCTTAGGGAATCATCTTCCTTTTTCTTTAAATAAACGTCTTTTGCTATATAAATCTTCTTCTGATGAGTATTTCTGTGATTTAAATAAATTAAACTGGTTTAAATTCGAACAGATTTGCAGTGCTCCCAGGCCTGAAAAGGTTCTCAGCAGTATTCTGATTACTGTCCTGGCATAAATCTGTGTGTATTTCTGTGGCATAAAAAAGAAAAGAAAAGAAAAACCCATTCAACGGATCCACTAAGTTCCCTAAATGTTCCCTAGAATGTTAGCTTTTAAAGGAAAAAATTGTTGGTGAATATTGGTTTGCTTGTTAACAGGCAATGGAAAGCGGCTTTACATTACAGAGTAATGTAGTGGGTTGACTGGGGGACATTGGAGAAGTATGGCTACTGATGGTGCTGCTTGTTTTGCTGAAAGAAACCTCAGGACGATAAGCCATGTCTGCACCCCAAGGAGCTCTGGCCAAACACATCCACACTTTCAAAATAGAAAGGGACAGAAAATCCTCTTCAGAGAGAAAATGCATAATAGACAATTCTACTCATCTCATTCAAAACTGGAAGTGAAGTTGATTAGATTATGACTTTGAATACATGCACAAGCAACATGTGCAGTCATAATCTTGTATCTTCTCATACATGTATTCAAAGTAGCGCTGAGTCAGTAAAAATGTTTTAGTGCCTTTTCACTTACACTGCTACATGAGTGGAACAGGATTGGATCTTAATCTGCTTTACAAAAAGTACATTTTATTACCTGTAAGAAATGCATCGAACTCTTGAATCAAAGCTAAACCATCAACAGCTGTGTAAAGGACCCAACACACCGTGTTTCCGTTTTGCTTTTATTGCATGCACAGTTATATTTTTCTCCTGGCTCAACACACACAGCAGCCGACTTTCCAGTCAGACGGTTTTTTAAGATGTTTTTTTTAACAGTGTGGCTCAACTACAGCCAGCTTGAAGGCCTGTGGTAGATAGCTGATTATTAGAGAGAGGTTGATCATATTTAAGACTGAATGTTACTGTGACTGAAGTTAACTTAAAAGATCAATTGGAGAAAAAGACTAATATCCAGTCAGCTGTGCACTCTCCTTGTAACAACTGGAGACTGTAACAACTGTAACTGATTAGCTGCATTATCCATTATCACCACATATGTAACACTGACACTGTAAGGCTTGACATATCGTATTTTTGGATGTTCCAAAAGGAAAAAAAAAAAAAAAAAAAAAAAAAAAAAGAGCTCAGCTGAAGACAACATTTTAATCCAGAGCAAAAGCTGCATGTAAGGCTTACTACTAAGCTTACTAGTGGATAATTAAAAGCTGTAATTAACCCTGTTAAGTGTCTTTATTTCCTTCATGTATCACAAATTTGGCAATCAGACCTGCCTAATATTGTGTTGGTCCTCCTCTTGCTGCCAAAACACCCCTAACCTGTCGAGACACGGCCTCCATTAGACCCTTGAAGATATGCTGTGGTATCCGGCACCAAGATGTTAGCAACAGATTCTACAAGTCAAGTAAGTTGCGATGTGGGGCCTCCATAGATCAGACTTGTTTGTCCAGCATATCGCACAGATGTTCAGTTGGATTGAGACCTTGGAGGCCTTTGGGCAGAGGCCTCACTCTTTGGGTGGCGTGTTGCCCTAAAACACGTAAAAAACATCTCTAAACGCTTTTTCAGTTCAGAGTCAGAGTTAAACTAACTTCAAAACAAATACGGATGAAGACATATTGAAAACCCTAAAACTGGCTTTGGAAAGTCCAGTCTGCTCCTGAGTTTCACAAACGATACTTTCGACCCAGAGCAGTCTGCCACGATAGGTGTGGACTTGCAATCGATGGAAATAAAGCTAAGCTCGCCGTATGGGACACAGCTGGACAAGAATGGTTTTGCACTCCGAAAGAAGCCTCATGTTTGTGGTGGGTGTTTTAAATTAACCGCATGGAGTATGAGTGTCAGGGCTCTGTGTGCGGGCAGGCAGAGATGAGGATCCAAATGCAGGACTCGAACACAGAATTGAAACTCAAAGACCTCAGCTTTATTGCTGGCAGGAAAACAAACATGAAGTGATGATGGAACACTGAGACCAAGGACACACAGGCACAATCTGATGGTACGACGCGACACCGAGCATGGGAAAACACAGGGCTTATATACACAGGGTAGTAACGGGGGAATCGGCAACAGGAGGGAGACACAGCTGGGAGAGATCAGGGCTAACGAGACAGGGGGAACAAAGCTGCACATACTAACATCAGACAGGAACAAGAACCTTCAAAGTAAAACAGGAAACAAAACACACTTTACTAAGACACAGACTAGACAGAGACAGACTTGACACTGACCAAAGGCTACTAAATGATAATCATAATCACAACAGTATCAGATCATAAATCATAATATAGAAAAACATCAAGATAACTGAAACACCAAGTACCAGAGATACATAAAGGAAAATCCATGATGCAAAAGTACCAAAACATAATGAACTCAAAATACTGGGTCCAACGGACCCAGAACCGTGACAGTACCCCCCCTCTAAGGGCTGACTCCCGACAGCCCCAAACAAAAAAAAAAAAAAAAAAAAAAAAAAAGCACAACAAAGCACCAGGCCAGGGCGGGCGGAGGGGGTCCAGGATGGAGGGACAGAGCCCAAACAAAAAACAAGGAGCA